GGGGGGGTAATAAATTCCTGATGATTGTGTGCTTTAGTGAGATTAGGCCAACAACGGCACAGCAGCCTTCAGCAACACAAGGACCAAATGCACTGGAGCCTGTCAGGTCCTGATGTCGTGTGTTTGATCACAGCTGCAGTCGAAAGTGACCTCAGTTTGTCTAGTAGATATAGCTGGTTATTAGATATTAGGAATCTGCAGCTACTCATCCAGATGTGTGGTTAACTGGTGCAAGGTGTGTGTGTGTGTGGAGAAAAGAAAAAACACACGAGTGTACTATTTTCACAGGCAGTCACAATAAGCCAAAACTATATTGTGATTTTGCTTTAATTCAGTGATTTCATAATGGATGACAGCAATTATACTGCAGGTAAATAAGTGACGCTCACTCTCTCCTTCATTGTTTGCAGTAGCTTAGATGGAAAGTTGTTAACCTTGTTGTATTCAATGGAATATAAAGTCGTGCTGTTTTCAAATCATTTCTGTTACACACTCTGTTACATAAGAGGCTGCTCATCAGTTTGGTTTACATCTGGTGCTAATAACAATCATTTTAGTAACTTTTATAGTGCTTAATATTGAACTATATAGTGTACATACACATATTGTACATATTATTGAGGTCAGACGTTATAAAAATACAAAGATATAGATTTAAAATGATTAATGGCACATCTCCCATAACCCCGCACAGCTCAGTTTTAGTATGGAGTCCCTCTCCTGCTTGTCGTCATCAAACCTTCTGGATGATGACCGGCCTCCTCTCCTGGACTCTGACGCTCTCTGCTGCTGTTGTGTTGTTTATCCCACCACAAGGTGACGGTTAGGAATAAGACTTCTTGCCAACTCAGAACTGGGCGGCGGCTGCTGCACTTGCTTACAGATGTTGTTTCACTCTGCTGGGGTGAAGTGAGTGGAAGAGACTTAATGCTGTGTGTGAAGTGCACAGTGTGTGAAGGGGCCTGTGTGTGTGCAAGAGAGGGAGAGAAGCTCCATCCCTGGAAGATCAGCCTCGGTTTCGGATATTTTTGCAAAGTGAGATCATCCTGGATAAAATGTACAATGAATCTTATAATAGTCCAATTTAAGGTTAGCGTAGGTTCTCACAGAGCAGCTCATGTTATTACTAAATATACAAATGTCAAAGCCTTTCCAATATACCAAATACATTGAGTTGACATTGTTATGGCAGCTATTGGCTGGTGAATACAGCTGAACTTGTGCATCTTTCTCTGCTTTTTTTTTTGACAGACTAATAAGAAGTATATGTGACACAGGAAGAACAAATTTCAAATCAAATAAACTTTATTGTCCCCATGGAGACATTTTCTTGGGCTGAAGTGCTGCAGCCGCTGCAGAACAGTACATTGTACAACAAACAGTACACAAGGACATATCGTGTAGGAGAATAATAATGCAGAATAAAAGTGAGTTGAATATTGCACCTGCCCTGAAAAAACATAAAAGGTGAAAAACAAAAACTGTGATTAAAACCTAAAAGCCCGTAAAATGTGCCAGACAAAGTGCAAAGGTTATTGAGCTACATGGCCAAAGCAAGATGTTTCCTTATCGAGTGGTGTGATGGACGTTGGAGTGAAAAAAGCTTGAGGCTTAACTTTCTGAAACAGTTCTCCAAAGTTTTATTTCATATTTAGGAATGGAAGGAAGGAGCCTGTTTGGGTTTGATGTATTAGATTAATTTGCAGACCCTATAATGATTATATATGGGTATTGGTGACTGTGATTGATTGACACACACAAGAACCACAAGTCTTCACATATGATATAGGGAAAAATAAATAAATTTGTCAAGTTTATTACGATGCAACGACATCAGTTTCTTAGTATCAGGGATAGTGCATTAGATGGCTCATTGTGGAGAATATTGATATTTTACTAAATTTCTTCTCAGATTCTGCAAAGGGAATTTATTTGATACTTGATTATTTAATATCTCTAAGATATTGTTGACCTGTGTGCGTGTGTGTGTGTACGTGTGTGTGTGTGTGTGTGTGTGTGTGTGTGGTTTCCATTAGAGAAACAGAGACACAGAGCTGCTGCCACTGACTGATTAACACTGGCAGGTGTCTCTCTCTCTCTCTCTCATTCTCTCTCTCTCTCTCCTTCTTTATCATTCTGGTGATCTCTCTTTTGCTCCTTCACTTTCTTCCCTTTTCCCCAATTCTCTCTATTTCACCTCTCTCCCTCCACATCTACCTTCTTTTGTCTCTTGAACATCTTTGTCTTGTCTCTTTCTTTATATATAGAGCCTCCTCATCGTAATCATTCTCTCTCTGTCTTTTGATTATGTCTCCCTCTCTTCATCCGTCTTAAAATCGAACCTCTGAAGAGACAGACACTCAGATGTCCGTGATCTACTTCAGGCTATTTTTGGATCATAAGTGCAGCAAAATGCTTTGAAGGAAAAAAGCAAACAACAGAGGATCTTCACAAAAATCGTTCTTGTTTCTGAAGAAGTCATCACGGACTGGTGGGGTCACAGGGCGTTTGGGGCTAGTGTGTTTTCTGCCATATTTCGGTGAATTTCCTGTTGGATCTGAGTTCCAGTTACAGATTTGACATCTTTAGATAAAACATGGACACACACATTTAAAAATATCCACCATAGATTTGTGTTGCCAGTGCCACAGCACAAAACTTCTCAGTGTGAAGAATTCCCAGATTTTAGGCTGTTTACTGTCGCTTATGGAACGTTATTGATCCAGTTATATTATTATTAATTAAGAGCCTTTACATTTCCCTGGTGGGCTTTGGTTTTCAAAACAAATTGTTCAAACATCTACAAAACTCCAGGAACTAAGCAGAGGAGCTAAACTTTCCTTAAGCTCAGTTCTGCTTCAGCTGCACTTCCATGCCTGAAGATGACACTGATTAAAAAGGTTTTGCATAGGACATGATAACCAACTGTTGTGAGTGTGATATGCATTTCAATTAGTATTGGAAAGGTGACATGTCAAGTCCAAGTGGAGAATCAAATCCTAGCAAGTGTTGATTTAGAATAGAAAAGCTCTTATTGTAAGAAATTACAAAAAACATGAGATGTAATTGTGCTGTGGAAAAGTGCTACAGTTCCTCTAGAGTAGAGGTCAAAAACTATAATAGAAAAGGCTTTTGGAAAATGCTCCTGCAGCTTGTTCAGGTCTTGTGAGTAAATGCTAAAGTGTTGCTCTGGGCCTGAGTGGTGTATTTGTTTTGAGGAGGTTAGCAGAGGATCAGAAAATGGAACCCCTTGGAAAATATGGAACTAGATTAATCGAAAAAGGTTTTTGGAAAATGCACTCGCAGCTTGTTTTTGAGTCAAGTCATATTTTACAAACTAATCCAAACTCATCAGTTTCTCAAACTGGAATTAGACCTTTGGTTGTGTCTTTGTCCAGTGTACATCTACAGAATTGGGAATTTATGAAAAGGATCAGGACCTTTAGTGACAAAATTAAATTTGCTCTCTTTCCTTCTTGATGACAGTGATAAAGTTTTATAAATTGACAAGCTTGTGCCAGGACAGTCTTCAGCCTCTGAATATTCTGCTGTTGGTGAGTGAACAGCTTCATTGCAGTGTTTTCAGGGTTAAGCGCTCGTTTCAAGGTTGCCTTGTGTTGCCGTGAACGGAACGATTAGAGTATTGTCACTCTTCGGTATAGCATGGAGGCATCAGGCCAAATGCTAAAAGCCAAAAACACACGTGTGGAGACCAGAGAGGATGGGAGGAGTGCGAATAGAGGGGGAGGACAGTTTAAAAAAGGGTGAAGGATAATAAAAGGAGAGAGGTGGTGGTGGAGGGGCTGAGGCTTTAATTAAACCATTAGCCTATTGGTTTATTGTGGTTACAAGCAGCATCATAGCTGGGGAGACGATAATACCAGTGAGTGGTTAAGAGGAGAAAGTATTATGACTGATGTTTATACAAACACACACACACACACACTCACAAACTCATATATATATCTGCTGACACTATGAGGTCATTGACTGAATATAAATAAATAATCAAATCATTTGATAATCTGTTCATTTTCCTTTATCATACAAACACATTTTCGTTTCTGCTTCTCAGATGTGTTGAGTTTGTTTTACTTTATAAATTCCACGCCTTTGTATTTTGGATCTTTGGTTGAACTTAATGAGCGATTTGAAGACATCATCTTGGCGTCTCACAGTGTGTGTTGGACTATTATTTTCGAATGTGTGAAGACTAAATAATCAACAGAGTAGCTTTAAGAGTAATTGATATTAATTAATAATGAGAATCATTGGTTGCAGTTAACCAAGTTATACATGTAAAGTCATGCAGTACAAAAGAGAACTTCGATTTTAGAATTAATGTATTTAAAAAATATATATTTTGTGTGTGTTTGTGTTTTTGCACTATACCATTATTTCTCTCATACATTGTACATGGGATGTACACACACACGCACACACACACACAC